TAACTGTTCTGAAAGAGCTATGTCTGATCCACAAAGACCTAAAATGAGGAAGCTATGTCTGATCAACAAAAACTTAGAAAATGGGGAAGTTATATCTGATCAATAGAGTTGAAAATGGTTCTTGGACAGATGATATCAGTAATTGATAGGTATATGTCAGGAAGGATTCCTTGGTACAATGAACCAATTAGAAAAGTGTTGCCTAATTCTGTCTCTCACCTTGCATAACTATATAATCACATTTGCTACCAGCTGGGTATGTGTTCATATCTACAGGACATGCTTGGATAGACATTTATTTTTGACTTGCTAAAATTGTGCTTTGTAGTGAAAAAAATAAGGTTATAGGATGATTGACCCAGCAGGACTTGGGAAGAAGGAAGAGAAGCTATTGGTCACTTTTAGTGATGATGGAGCTTTCTAAATTCTGATGTTATGTTTTTTAATAAAATAACCAATAATATCACTGCTCATGAGAGCAGGATTGTGTATTGAAGGTGCCAATACACTTTCTTTTCTGTGTATACTTAGTATTTTAATTATGACATGCCATGAGGATTTCTTTTCTGATCCTATGTGATGTTTTCTGTGTCTTTGTATGGGTATATTTCCTTAGTTTGGGAAAGTTTTCTTCTGTGATCTTCTTGAAGATCTATCCTATGTCATTGACTTGGGATTCTTCTCCTGTATCTATACCTAAAATTCAAAAGCTTTTATTAATGATGTCCCACATTTCCTTTGTGTTTCTTTCTTGTATTTGGAAGGGGGGGGCAAGCTTCATGTCTCTTGCTTATTTGGCCTAGATCTTCTATTTTATCCTTCATTCCTGATATTTCACTTGAGTTGTTTTACTTGTAAGGTTCTTCTTTGGGTTTCTTATTTGGGCTATGGTTTTCAAGTACATCTTCATTTTCATTTGAATCTTTTTTAAATGTTTCTATATCTTTATTAAATTGCATTTTCAACTTCTGGATTGTCTTTGTCATTTTCATAAGTGTTATAGTTTCTTGGGCATCATCTAAGCATTTATTATTCTTTAGCTCTTCCTCTTTGATTTCGTTGAGCTATTTCTTTGTGTCTGCTTTAAATTCCTTGAATCTTTGAGGCAGTTCTGTAGCTGCTTGCATTCTAATGCTAATTGTGTCCCTCAAAACTGTTTGCAGGAGAGGCTATACATGTAGCTTCTGGTATCCTGCCCCTAATTAATTCTGATTGGTAATTAAGATGCCAGCAGGCAATAGCTGGGAAAAAAAGAAAGAGGCATGGTTTTAGGTTTCCAGGGTTTGGGACCTTGAAGAGGGAAGAAGAGAAGGAGAGACAGCACTACTGAGAAGAGTGCAGAACAAAGAGATAGAACCTCCATGTAAAGGAGCCAGGAAAGACCATGGCAAAGGGTTCCTCAATTCAGTCAGGAGTGGCCAAGATGGAACATAGAAATTAGTTAGTAACTCAGAATTATCAGTGGGAGGTAGATTCTAGCAGCATGGAAGCAAGGCCCAGCTATTGTCATGTTGCACAAGGCATATAAAAATATAAAGGCTGCACGTGGGTTGTTCTTTTCAGAAAATAAACCATTGAAGTGGGAAGCAACTCCACTCAGGATTTATTAGAAATGCTAATACTACATGGTTCAACATTGCTCCTTTTTTTTTTGGATATTTTATTTATTTACATTTCAGATGTTATTCCCTTTCCCCATCCCCCACCCTGAAGCCCCCTTCCCACCATCCATCCTCCTCCTGCTTCTATGAGGGTATGCCCCGATCTACGTACCCACTCCCACCTTCCTGCCCTTGAATTCTCCCACACTGGGGCATCCAACCTTCACAGGACTAAGAATCTCCTCTCCCACCTGTGCCCAACAAGGCCATCCTCCCCTACATATACAGCTGGAACCATGGGTTCCTCCCTATGTGCTCCCAGGCTGGCAGTTTAGACCCTGGGAGCTCTAGTTGGTTGGTATTGTTGCTCTCCCCATGGAGCCTCAAACCCCTTCAGCTCCTTCAGTCTTCTTTCTAACTCCTCCATTGGGAACCCCATGATCAGTTCAATGGTTAGCTGTGAGCATCCACCTCTGTATATATCAGGTTCTGTCAGAGCCTCTCAGGAGACAGCTATATCAGGCTCCTGTCAGCATACGCTTCCTGGCATCCACAACAGCATCTGCCTTTGGTGACTGCACATGGGATGGATACCCAGGTGGGGCAGTCTCTGGATGCCCCCCCTTCAGTTTCTGTTCCACACTTTGTCTCCATATTTGCTTCCATGAGTATTTTGTTACTTCTTCTAAGAAGGACTGAAGTGTCCATACTTTGGTCTTCCTTCTTCATGAGCTTCATGTGGTCTGTGAGTTGTATCTTGGGTATTGCAAACTTTGGGGCTAATATCCACTTATCAGTGAGTACATACAATGTGTATTCTTTTGTGATTGGGTTACCTCACTCAGGATGATATTTTCTAGTTCAATCCATTTGCCTAAGAATTTCATGAAAACTATTCTCAACAATAAAAGAACTTCTGGAGGAATCACCATCCTTGACGTCAAGCTGTACTACAGTGCAATAGTGATGAAAACAACATGCTGTTTATACAGAGACAGGCAGGAGGATCAATGGAATAGAATTAAAGACCCCAAAATGAACCCACACACCTATGGTCACTTGATCTTTGACAAAGGAGCTAAAACTGTACAGTGGAAAAAGGACAACATTTTCAATAAATGGTGCTGGTTCAACTGGAGGTCAGCATGTAGAAGAATGAAAGTCAATCCATTCTTATCTCCTTGTACAAAGCTCCAGTCCAAGTGGATAAAGGACCTTCACATAAAATCAGATACACTGAAACTAATGAAGAGAAAGTGGGTAAGAGCCTCGAATGCCTGGGCACAGGGGAAAAGTTCCTGAACCGAACACCAATGGCTTATGCTCTCTAAGATCAAGAATTGACAAATGGGACCTCATAAAATTACAAAGCTTCTGTAAGGCAAAGGACACTGTCAATAGAACAAAACGACAACCAACAGATTGGGAAAAGACCTTTAACAATCCTACATCTGATAGAGGGCTAATATCTAATATATACAAAGAATTCAATAAATTAGACTGCAGACAATCCAATAACCCTATTAAAAATGAGGTACAGAGCTAAACAAAGAATTCTCAACTGAGGAAACTCAAATGGCTGAGAAGCTCTAAAGTAATGTTCAACATCCTTAGTCATCAGGGAAATGCAAATCAAAACAACCCTGAGATTCCACCTCATACCAATCAGAATGGCTAAGATCAAAAACAGATGCTGTCAAGGATGTGGAGAAAGAGGAACACTTCGCCATTGTTGGTGGGATTGCAAGCTGATACAGCCACTCTGGAAATTAGTCTGGGCATTCCTCAGAAAATTGGACATAGTATTACCTGAAGACCCTGAACGTATACCCAAAAGATGCTCCAACATATAACAAGGACATATGCTCCACTATGTTCATAGTAGCCTTATTTATAATAGCCAGAAGCTGGATAGAACCCAGATGTCCTTCAACAGAGGAATGGATACAGAAATTGTGGTACATTTACACAATGAAGTATTACTCAGCTATTAAAAACAATGAACACGAACATTGCTCTTTTAAGTTCTGTGCTCTGGTGTCCATCTACATAACTCTCATTGGTAAGAATTTCTCTGAGACTGGTATTTTTTAGAGAAAATATATTGAGTTGATATTTCATATTGTTGGTATTTCTGTGATGAGATCTGGGCATGTGGACTTTGTTACTTTGTCTGAGTTTCTTACAGAAGAAATAAGTTCAGATAGAAGAGAAGAATAGAGGTAGGATCCATCTAGAGACTGGAAATGACTTAGATGGAATGAAACTATGTGGGTACAGGAGACTGGCATGGTACAAAGGATATGTTTCTTTTCCCAAGCTAGAAATGGGGTACATTGGTCCAAGTAGAAAGGTTGAATATGATGTGGGGGAGACCTATGGTATCATAGAGAGACATCAACAAACCAAACAATACAATTAAAATATGGGTTACAGATCTAAACAGAATTTTCAACAGAGGAATCTTTAATGACAGCAAAACACTTAAAGAAATGTTCAACATTATTAAATCCGAGAAATGCAAATCAAAACTGCTTTGGGATTTCATTTTACACCTGTCAGAATGGCTAAAATCAATAACACAAGAGATAGATTGTGCTGGCAAGGATGTGGAATAAGGGGAATACTCCTCTGTTGCTGGCAGGAGTGGAAACTAGTACAGCCACTTCAGAAACCAATATAGAGGTTTCTTAGAAAGTTGAGGGAAAATCAATCTACCTCAAGTTCCAGCTATACCATACTTGGGTATATACCCAAAGGACATTCCATCCTAACACAAGGACACTTGCTCAACCATGCTCATTGTAGCTTTATTCATAGTAGCCAGAAACTGAAAACCTATTTTTCTCTGAACTGAAGAATGGATAAAGAAAATGTAGTACATTTACACAATGGAGTATTGTTCGGCTATTTAAAAAAGATAATGTGAAATTTGCAGGCAAATGGATGGAACCTAGGAAACAAATTCATCCTGAGTGAGGTAACTCAGATCCAGAAGGACAATTAGGGTATGTTGTAGAGAAGGGGCATGAGAAGACTGCCTCCAACTTGCTAGCTGCGAGGCATCCTAGAATCTTTGTCACTCTCATCAGACTAAAACCAAAGAGGTATACTTTCTTAAGCAGAGAATCCTGGTATTCTGCCAAGTAAGCTGAAAACCTGAGGAAGCGACCTAACCTTCGTGTTCCCTCTCTTATGAGAAAGTAACTGTTTTTAACTATAAGATGCAACACATCTAAGAGTTAGACTGCTGACAGATTTCTCAGTCTGTAATGAGGTTTCAGTCACTTTGAACCAAGATAAGCTATTGCTAGGGAAACAGCGCCTGCTGTAAACAGGAAACTGTGGGAAATCTTTATTCTGCTTTGCCTTTAGAAGAAGTTGAAACTTGTTTGAAAAAAGTGCACATTGGCTGACTATGGCTGTGTACCCCCGTGTCCTGTTAATGTGGCTCTACACTTTGGACCACAATGCACTAGATGTTGACAAGGGGCACCCAATTACAGAGGACTCAAGTAAGGAAGTTTTGCGGGAGGGCCAGAAACTTTGGTGAGAAAAACTTGTTATAAATGAGTAACTCTTCTTTGCTTAAAAACTTGTGCAGGGCACTTACCAAAAAACGTCTCTAGTACAGGGAAAAGGGGCAAGCTATCAATTCCTAGTATTTCTTTTCTGCAGTATACATGATTTTTCTTCTGGAGCACATTTACAGGTATATGAGTATGTATGCAAATATGCATGAATATTTGTGGAGTTGATTGTGGCCAGCCACAGAGAGAACGTGAGTGTATGAATGTTCGAATGTATAAATGATTGTGTGTATTTGTCTGTATAAAGCATCTTAATTCTTTTCTTTTCCTTTAAAGCAGCACCAGCAATCAATATTTTTACTGAATTTCTATCTGCTAAACAGTGTTAATTGCCAGATATTAGCATTTATTAAATACAAATGGTAAAGACTTAAGAAAAAGTTAAGTTCTTAGCACAGAATAGTAAGAAAGAGTTAAACTTACAGAGAGTTATAACATTTAATAAAGCACAGAGTTAAAGAGAAAAGAAGCCAGCATTTTTAATCAGAGAATAAGCTAGAAAGTTTTTAGAATCTTTTAGAAGTTATCGGCAAGCATTCAGTATAGATATTGAAAATTGGCAAAGAATAAAAAGGGATGTAGAAAAGACTGTTTGGTAAAGGAAGAAAATTCCTGTAAACCTTGAGTTAATTCTGTGCTTTATTTTGGTAGTATTTTAGGGTATGAGTCGTATACTTGCGGCAGGCTGGTGTTCACAAAGCAGCCTTCCTATATCTGTTTTTTGCATAATTTTTAACCTTTCTATAATCAGACTTACTTGTACTGGCAGGACCAGTATAGAAAATATAGATAATGGAGCTTATAGAATTGAATATGAGGAAGGCACAATAAATTTAGCAACCTTGAAGGTTAAGATAAGACGTCAAGTTAGCAAGGAGAGAGAAGTAGTTTCAGAGAGGAAAAACCTATCAGAGAAAGTTCGGTAAAAGGAAGGAAAATGAAAGTAAGCTGTTCTGCAGCTAGACACAGAGGCATACAGCTGCAATGGAGGCCCCAGGATGCTGGGGTCAACACCAACAGGCTTTGTTGTTGTAAGCTCACTGCCTGAGCACTCTCTGACGCCTGGAGGAAGAGAATCTGAGGCAGCTGCAGGACTGCAGGAAGAGAAATGGCATGCTCAGGTAAGGAAGCATCTTAGCAAGCACCAGAGGACAGCACAGTATTGCAGAGTTAAAGCTCTAGTATGAGTAAGTAATTAGGATTCCTGGTTTTCACATAGATTGCCTCAAGTTTAAATTATATAAACTAACATATATTATATAAATTAAATATAAATTATGTATATTTAATATAATTGGTATGCCTTAATATATATCATATACAATAAATATAAGTCATGTGCATTAAATATTAATTATATACTTTGAATGCAGACTACATACATTTAATATAGATTATAACACTGAATGTGATCTATATACATTAGTGTATGCATTATATACAGTGAAAAATTATACGCATTAAATATTAATGAACCCCTTTAAATAAAATTAATATATGTTAAAATATGAATTAAATGTGAGTTATAATCATAATTTCATGTGTCCACAAGGACAGGGAGCTATGGAAAGAGCTTATGGAGCTCTAAAAAATGTTTTCTCTGCAGGCTATTGTTATTCCAAAGTTCAGGAATTTTAATATTGATTAATGGAAGTCTGATAAGTTAATGGAACATTGGCAGTTTATAATTCAGCTATAAGGTAAATATTTCAATTTTTCTTTGGTTGTTTTCTGAATATAAACTTAAAGATGCTTCTCACCATGCAAAAACATCTGTGTCAATTAGTGTATTTATAGGTGTATAAAAGACACCTGTTAACTAAATTTTGAAAATAAGGATTTCAATAAAATAATAAATGACAATATATATTCTTTTGTAAACTAAAGTTTTGTAAACATTAGCTTCAAGGAATTAAGAGCCCTGAAACTTGAATTCACCTGTCACAGATCAAATGAATTCAAGATAAGTATATCTGCTTGTTCTTGAAAATGGCTTTTTTTTTTCTTGATCTAGGGATTTCTTAAATTCCACAATTGCTAGGCAATTTTAATTTCTGTTTCTAGTCTATATTTGTCTTAGCAAATTTTCACGGGGCTGACAGACTCCATCCAGGGATCAGCTGTAGAGCTGCTCAACTCTGGACTTGCAGAAGGCTGATGTGAAGTGCTTCAGCTGACGTGACTGCTCCTTGTCTTTCATCTGGATTAGCCAATCAGATTTGTTTTTATAAATATTTCATTGCCCAGCCTTTGACTAGCATTTAAACCTCCCTGAGACACTTTGCAATGTCTTAATGTCAGCAGGAAGCAGATACAGAAGAGAGATTTGAAGTCTTTTTTCCCACTTTACAGGCTGAAATTCTAGGTCAAAAAATGTATCCCCCTGAGCATACACACATTCTAAAACCAACCCTATGTCCCTGCTTCACATGTTGATGTTTGGGCAAATGAATGTTTTACTGTCTTGGAACAATATGGTGTTCATTTAACGTTTTTAATACTCTATAGATGGAGCCCATAAAAAGTCTATGGAAAGTACTCCCACAAGGAGTGATGAATTCCCCTACTCTGTGTCAGATTTATGTAGACTTTGAATCCTATTAGACAGCATTATGCTCGCTTATATATTTCTCATTATATAGATAGCATTCTTTTTGCAGGACCTAGTTGTAGGGACAGTTCTGATGCTAAGGGTCTGATTCCCCAATTGGTTCTTGATCTGTCAGTAAAGAAAACCATAGGACAATTGCTGGGCAGAAGGTACAGATGAGACTGCTGGGTACCTGGAGGAAAAGAGAGATGCAAGGGAGGAGAAGAGAGTTCACCAGGCTTCTGATGGAGTAAAGTTGACCAAACATGTGAGGTCTCAGGCCTGTCGCTGCTACTACAGGTGGGTAGTTGGGGATGTAATTAGCAACTAAAGTTTAGGGCAGGTAGAAAAGGCAGAGATAAGAATATTATTAAGGGCATGCTTTTCTAGGTGGGAGATAGTAGTGCTCAGCAATTGTGCCTAGAAGGCAAATTGAAAAAAACAACTCTCTCTCACTCTCTCTCTCTCTCTCTCTCTCTCTCTCTCTCTCTCTCTCTGTGTGTGTGTGTGTGTGTGTGTGTGTGTGTGTGTGTGTCTTTTATCAGTGGATTCAAGGGAAGCTGGGTGGGGGACAGTAGCACAACCCATTCCGAGAGCTTAGGCAGGGTAGCAAAAAGATACATGCAACACCTAGTATGGTAGAGTTAGAACATGTTTTGCAAATTTTACTAGAAGTGTTTAAGCTATTTGGAACGATAACAGCTCCAGAAAAGATTCAAAAATAGCAGCTAGTTAACTATTTAGGATATATTGTAGCTAGACAATAGGTGCTTACACACACACAAAAATGCAGCTAAGAACGGATTGCTGAAAGACTTTAAATGATTTTCAAAAATTATTGAGAAATATTAATTGGTTATATCTATCTTCAGGTATTTCTACTTATTAGCTACATAATTTGTTTATGACATTCCAGCGAGATCCTGCCCTTGAAAGTAAAGCAAGAAACAAATAGTTTCTTAGAAACAAAGAAAGAATTACAAATAGTTGAAAATTATATTAAGGAAAGTTTTTTCAGCCATTACCTAATTGATGTTTCTATTGATTTGCTTTTATTAAATACTTTTCAGTATCCAAGTGAAATATTGGCTCAAAAAGACCATCCTTTAGGATAGACTTATACTAGGCATACTTTTCCTAAAACTTTAACTGCTTTTGAAGATATGCTATCTTTATTGACACAAATGGGTCATCAAAGATGTGTACAATAAGTATGACTGTGCTTCTATTGTATTTCCTTTAACTAAAGATAAAGTACAGTATTTGTATGCTATGAGTAAATCTTTACTGATAACTTTATTAAATTTCATGGTTCAATTAAAATATCATTTGCCAAAAATTAAATTATTGGACTTTTTAAAGAAAAATGAATTTGTGATAAATGATATTTTAGCTCAAGAATCATTAGCAGATGCTCTTCCAATTTTTACAAAGGGGTAAGAAACTAAAAGTGCTTTTTGGACTCTTTCTGATTTTCAGGTTTTTCTGACTAAATATACTTCTGTTCAGCAAAATGAGCTATATGCTGTAACTAGAGCTTTTCAAAAGTATTCACAAGATATTAATTTAGTGGTAGATTCAGCATACATTGTAGAGGTTGTAAAGCAGATTTATACTTCTGATACTTCTAATTATGAAGAGCCTTTGAAAACACTTTTCTGTAGTTGCATTAATGAATTAAGAACACATAATGGCAGAATATTTATTACTCATATTAGATCTCATACCAAATTGCCTGGATTCATTTATGAAGAAAATGAATGTGTGCATCATTTGGTTACTTTTGTTTCTGCAGAAGATGAGCATAATATTTTACATACTAATTTTAACAGATTACAGATACAATATAAAATTCCTTATCAACAAGCTAAGGCTATTATTTCACACTGTCCAATTTGTAAACCTGTGCATATTCTCATGGTCTCACAAGAGTTAACCCTCCCAGGGACAAGCAAATGAGATTTGGCAAATGGATATCACTCAAGTACCTGAATTTGGAAGATAGTGTTATGTGCAAGTATCCATTGCAACATTTTCCACATTTATATGGAGTACACCACTTCCTGGAGAAACTGCTAATCATGTAACTTAGCATTTAACTGAAGCTTTTGCCAGTATGGGAGTTCCTATGGTTATTAAAACAGATAATGGTCCAGCTTATAAATCTTATAAATTTAAGCAATTTTGCATGTAATTTGAAATTAAACATATAACAAAAATAGAATAAAATCCTCAAGGACAACAATAGTGGAAAGAGCTCACTTTAAAACAAATTAAAAAATAACAAAGGAGAAAAATAGATGAATCTTTTATGTTTCTCTATAATCAATTGCAAGCTTCATCAAGAACATATATTCATCAAGCTTTAATACTTAACTTCCTTCATTTACCTCCAGGGGATATACTTTCTAGGGAAGAAAAACATTTTGATTCAGAATCAAATAGAGAAAGTTTTCATCTACAAAATGTCTGAGTTAAGATAACTGCTGATGTAGAATGGCAAAAGGAGATGTTGTTAGTTCGAGGGAAAGTTCTTGTATTGTTCTTGTATAGTTCTTGTATTGTTGCAGGGCAAACAACAACTCTGGTTGCTACCAAGATGGATTCAGAGATGCTGTGAGGCCAAGGATGAAAGCAGCAGTGAGGCGCAGATATGATCCTCTTGATGAAGAGCTGTCCATTCAAGCTATGGCTCATTTACTGGGACTGCTCAGTCTGCTTCTAATTATAGTTTTACAATATATCAGAAGTACAATATTTCTGCATGTGTACCTTTGCCTTATGTAATTCTTATTGGAGAATTTAAATTTTCATATCAGGAAATTACATGTGTTAACTGTAGATTGTGTTATTGGATCAATAATAGCATATTTTTAAATTTTATTTCTTATTCAGTAATGCATATAAAACAATGTAGTCATGTATGACATGTCTTGAATTCTTCGATAAAAATTTTAAAAAGAACAAAGCATATGTTAAGGATTGTTGTTGCTGTAATTTTAAGTCTTATTGCTGTGGCTACTACAGCCTCAGTAGCCGGTATTTCTTTGCATGCTTCTTTGCAAACTAAACATTTTGTAAAACAATGGCATAAGGACTCTCATGAGTTGTGGGTTCATCAGGTGGACATTGATGCGAGGCTGCAGACAGAAGTGTTACAGCATATACAGATGCATTAAAACAATCTGTATCCTGGTTGGTCAAAAATGTTTGAGTGTGCAACAATAGTTGCAGTTAAATTGTGATTGGAATTCTACTGCTACATTTTGTGTTACTAATTTTCAATACAATGCCAGTCTTCAAGATGGGAAAAAGATTCAACTGTATTTGAAAGGATATTCTACTGTTAGAAAGAATATTGAACAATTACAATACCAAGTGCTGGACACATTCAAAAAGCAATCTCCATTTGACAGTGTATCTGATATTGCTAAAATATTAGCTGATAAGTTTTCTGGCATAGACCCTAGAACTTTATTACAGAGGGTGACTCATGCACCTGGAGGAGCTAGTGTTGTGTTACTTATTAGCACTATTTTAATTGGCATTTTAAGATTGGCTATTTACATGTGTTCCTTTCATAATCACACTTCACAAGTATGTAGCTTATGGTAAAATAAAAGAAGCTAAATTAAAAAAATAAAAAAGGCAGCAATTGTAGAGAAATGAGACTACTCCCAACTTTGAGGTAACCTAGGGTCTTTGTCTCTCTCGGCAGACTGAGGCCTAGGAAATATATTTCCTCAAGCAGAGAATCCTGGTGTTCTGCACAGTAAGCTGCAAACCCGAGGAAGAAACCTTTCCTTCCTGTTCTCATGAGAATGTAACGTTTTGAATTATAAGAAGCAACACATCTAAGAATTGGATGGCTGACAGATTTCTCAGTCTGCAGTGAGGTTTGGGTCACTCTGAACCAAGATAAGCTATTGCTAGGAAAACAGCACCTGGTATAAACTGAAAACTGTTAAAATCTTTATTCTGTCTTTTGTATAATATAAAGTTTGCATTGCTGACTGTGGCTGTGTACCCACTGTGTCCTGTTGATTAGGTAAATAAGAGGATTTGGGGGAATGTACTGATCTCTCTGTGAGGGTGAACAGAATAGATTTTATAGAAGAACTGGAGGTGGGTGGAGATGGGGGTTGGGGAGGAGAATCATGTGGAGAAGAGAGATGTCATGGAGGAAGCAAGAGCCAGGAGAGACTGAAACTGGGGGGGGGGATTGTTGGTAGCTGGGGGAGGAACTTAGTGCAGTGGAATCTTTCTGGAATCTATGAAGGTGATCCTAATGAGGACCCCTAGTAATAGGAGATATGAAGTCTCGACTTGCCATCTCTTATAGTCAGGAGAGGCTTCCAGGGATAGGACTGGGTTACATTCAATTGAGCTGTTGACCAAAGGGGGATGTGGAGAGGAACTGGGAGGTATAAAAGGAGTGGAAACTATAATCAGGATATATTATATGATAAAAGAATTTCTTTTCAATAAAAATGAATAAAATTCAAAAATTAAAGAAAAGAAGCAAAAAGAAAGGAAGGAAGGAAGAAAGGAAGGAAGGAAGGAAGGAAGGAAGGAAGGAAGGAAGGAAGGAAGAAAGGAAAAAAGTAAGGGAAAGAGAGAGAAAGAAAGAAAGCAGTGTGAGCAAATGATGGAAAGTAAGTCAGTAAACAACATTCCTCCATAGCTTCTGCCTCAACTATTGCCTCCAGGTTCCTGCCCTGCTTGAGTTCCTGCTCTGACTTCCTCTGATGATGAACAGTGATGTGGAATTAAGCTAAATTAACCTTTATCTCCCCAATTTGTTTCTGGTCATCATGTTTTATCACAGCAATAATTACCCTAAGACTAAGAAATACAAAAAAAATGAATGAATATTTTTAAAAGGATTCAATGTACCTAGCCATTAGAGAAATGCAAATAAAAACTTGTGATTCCATATTACCCCAGAAAAACAACTATATTAAAGAAAACAAATAACAAGAAATAAGGATGCAGGGAAAGAAGTATAAACTGGTACTGTAAGTACTATGGAAACCAGGGTGGAGCTTCTCAAAAAGCTGAAAATAGAACTACTATACAACTGCCTACATATACCGTTCTCTCTCTCTCTTTCTCTCTCTCTCTCTCTCTCTCTCTCTCTCTCTCTCTCTCTCTCTTTCTCTCTCGTGTGTGTGTATGATATGCTTATGTATACGTTTATGTATATGTTGTGCCTACATGTGAATGTGTGTGCAAGCATATGTGTACGTAAGGTAGACATTACTTTCTTCTTCAACAGTGTTACCACAACCACCACCACCACCACCATCATCATCATCTTGAGACAGGATTTCTCGATAAATCTGGGGCTCATTTATTCAGTTGGGCTATCTGGAAAGGAAGTTCCGTGGATCTGCCTGTCTCTGTCTCCTGGTCCTGGAATTATGCCATTCTGCCTAACTTCTACCTGTGTTCTGGAGCTCCAAATTCAGTTCCTCATGATTTTATCACCTTACCACTAGGCAATCTCTCCAGCCCACAGCTTTACCACTTGAGCATACACCCAGATGGACTCGGAGTCAATATACTACAGAGATAACTGCATTATTCAAACAGCTAGAAAATATAATCAGTTTAGATGTCTATCTGGAGATTAATGCATAAAAAAAAACAAGGTACATACACATTGAAATTTTATACAGCAATAAAGGTAAATCATGACATATTCAAGAAAACAAATGTAACCAGAAAACATGATGTTAAGTGAGAAAAAAGCCAATCTCAGAAAGATAAATTGTCTGTTTTTTCTCATGTGCAAAGCCTATAAACCTAGGCAAACTGTGGCAGGAAAGATCATAACCCTTCTACCAAAAATGAAAGAAAAGAAAGGAAGAGAGAGAGGAAAGGAGGGAAGAAAGAAGGAAGTGAAGATAGAAAAAAGAAAACAAAAGGAAGCCTGAAAGTCTATGGCAAAAAGAAAAATCCCCAAAGTAAACCTGTGCTTGAAGAAATCAGAGGATCAAGAAGAGGGCACACTATGCCCTCTGTCCCATGCTACTTCTGTAAATACATATCCTGTTACTCTAGTGATTCCTCCATCTCCCTAAGATGATTAGCTCGCTTACTTATGAAACAAACTTTTATATGATGCAAACATTTCTTACAGATATTTCTCTCTCTGTTTGTATGACTTCTTAGCCCCTAAGCCTGCAGGACCAAGTAAGTACTCCTGTCAGGCTTCCTTTAGACTATAGCTATGTGAGTTGCCATGCCACAATGAATCACATGACTGAATGTGAAGGTCAAAAAACATTGGGAAAAAAATAAGAGACTTCTGAATAAATAACATTTTGGCTAAGATTCTAGACTATTGTGTATTATGAATTATTATATTTTGCTGTACATACAGTTTTCTATTCTTATAGGAACATAATGGCTCAATTGTCAAAAACAAAGACTTCATATTTTCTTGCCATCATTATTCAGCATGTTAGTAACAGATTAGTATATCTCTAGATTGTATCATGTTCCAATGTTGTATTTTAAAATTGGTGTTTGGTGCTGGGAACATTACTCACTTGACTGACAAGTACTTACCTAGCATTGCCTAGTTTGGCTCACCTCCCAACTGCACACACAAGATGTGGTGGCACAGGCCAATGAGTCCCATACTCAGGAGCTAAAGAGGATGGCAGTTCCAAGTTTCAAGGCCATTCTCTCCTACAAAGTGAGCTTGAAGTCAGTCTGAACAAAATGAGACCTTGTATCAAAGTTAAATAAATAAAATTAATGTACTAATTGGTTAGCTGATTAATTAATTAATTTTAAAATAAGCTGCTTGATTGGTTAAAATTGCTGTTTGGTAGCTGAACTTAGTTTCATTAAAAATCATTCAATGAACTGTGGCTTGAAATGAGGTCAGGATTTTCAACAATTTCTGAAATAGCTTTAAAACATACTTTTGCTGTTTTATATTATGCATTTATACAAAGCAGTTTTCTCAGCACTAATGTCTATATAAATTAAACTATCAATTAACTCTGGCAAATGTTTGAACTCTAGGTCTTTCACTTTCAAATATTTAGTCAATATTTATTTCTTAAAAATAACTAAGCATAGCCATATCTTTAATATGTGAACTTGGTTTTACCTATAATAAATAGTAAATGTGTATATAGAACAAAATTTGCCTTAAAATAAGTTTTTTTCAGTATTATTATCAAGAAGTATTTGCTTTATGCATCTATTTACATAAAATATAATATACTTTGGAAATATAAACATTTTTCTGGTGGGAAGGACTCTCAAGTGGAAAATGTTTAGATGTTTTTCTTTGGATCATCAAACCAACTAAGACTTTTGCCAGGAATATATACTGTTTCCAATTAAATGAAGGTCTTCCCAAGTGCTGATGTAAGATATTCTTAGACAGGAAGCTAGTTATACACATTGTTATTCTACATATGACAAATAACACTAGAGTTTGACGATAGTGTATTTATTACTTTTTGGAAGTGAGTGTTTCTGATGGGACTTAAATCATAAATACTCCATAAAGCAGTTTTATGACAATGTAGTAATTAATATTAAAAATAGAGAGGCTGGGGATTTTCTCAGAATCAAGTACATGTCCAAGACTCTGGGATTCATCCCCATCACCTCAAAAAAGAGGGATAGATCATTAAATTGTAGTTTTCTGTAGAAGTTAGGTCTGGGTCTTCCTCCCATCCCCATGCTCCCAGAAATAAGACTCAGACTAAAATATATTTACAAGTACTGTGACCATACAGCTAGGCTCTTCTCTGACTAGCTCATAACTTAAATAAACCCATTTATTCTGCCATGTGGCAGGCTATCTTTGCTCATATACCATGCATCTGTCTTATCACATCTTTTTATTTTTTCCATCACATCTTCCTGGGCGATTCTTCCATACCTTATTCTATCCTAGTGCTTTCTGCTGCATGGATGCCCCACCTTCTATTCTATCCTTTCCTATAGGGCATAGGTTCTTTAATTGACAGGTGATGCAGTCATACAATACACTGGGTATTTTCTCTACAGTTCCCTTTTTTAATCCAATAAAAGGCTCTTTTTCTTTCAAATATAAATTAAATACAATAATAACAATTATGAGACAGTTATGGAAACTATAAGGTATGAGATGTATTTACAATGTCCAGTCCATAGTATTTGGTAGTTAATGAAATTTTTCTTTTCTTTTCTTTTTTTTATTTTCTATTATCTATCCTATCTTGGTGCATTTAAAGTCTTGTACCTAATGAAAATTTTATTTTAACTTGTATTGCCAACCTAAAGACATTGTTTTTAGACTTAAACACCTTCTTAAATCCTAAACAACTTAAGCTTGACTGTGAGACAATAACTATCCAGTATTCAATTCCATCAGAGACCTGAGAAAATATAGATATTACCTTAGAAGCAGACACGCAGCTTCTAAGGTTATATAAAATACAGACATAGTTGGCTGCCTAAACAGTTTTCTAGAATTATTTCTATAATGTTGGAGCATCCATCTTCAGCCTTCTGGCCCAGTATATCTGACAGAATTTGTGAAGCAGGAAATATGACAAACTTGCTTACCCATAGGAGAAACTTAGCCAAGCAGCCAAGCCACAATCCTGGCATACCCTGCCTGTAAGAGAGTTGGTAAGAGTCAAGCAACACTTACCCTGTATTTTCAGAGCTAGGCAATTGACTTCCCTGCATTCATTTGTTCTTTCTGAACAATATTTTGTCTGTAGTTGTGAAGTGTGGGCATTTTCTTTTCCCAGTAGCTAATTTGACATAACAATTATATAAGCACAATATCTTAAATAAATATTGAAAATATATGTACACATGTGTGAATCAAAATTAACCTTAAATTTGTATCAATATACAATAACATAACAATGTATTAAAATTAACTTTATTTCTTTATCAGTATACAAGATGCTGTACCAATGTAACAAAATACAACCTTAAATTTGCATTAAAATACAAGAATCTCTACCATTGCAAAATTATGGCTATAAA